GGGAGGGGGGAGGGGGGAGAAGAAGAAAGGTTTCTAAGCTTCACACAAAGTTGAAGTCATAAGAGAGAACATATTTTGCATTTTAATTACAGCGGAACAAGACGGAGGAATAGGGACAAAGAACCAAAATTTGAAGTCAGGATTGCAAGGTAAAACATAGGGTACCTAGTTAAATTGAATTTCAGATAAACCACAAAGAGCATTTTAGAATAAGTATATTCCAAATGTTGCATGAGATATACTTAGGTCAAAAATATCATTCCTTGCTTCTCTGAAATTCAAATTTACCTCAGTACCTTGTATTTTCACTGGACAAGTTTGGCAACCCTCGAGAGACAGAGCATCTGTGTTTAAACCCTGGTTTTGCCACTGAGGTGAGCCATTTACTCTTTCTAGGTCTTAAGTTTCTCCCATTCTGTCAAATGGGTAGAAGAGTACCAGTGTGATACAGACACGAGGAACAAATGAGAAATAAGCCGGGGAGACAGGAAGTGCTACACACTGCACAAACTTGTAGTACTTAATATGGTGGGTGACTTAATAAAATTTCCCCCTAATGCCAGTTAATTAGTCCCCGACCTTTGATAGGAAAATAGAATCCCATAACCCATCTTCTCTACGGAGTATCTGGGAATAACTGCTAAATTCCAGACATAATTGTGTCATCATGTCTGTGTGTCCACGGCAGTCAAGTCAACCGCTGGTAAATGTAACATGACTGAAATTTATTTGCAGGCATGTTTTTCAGTGATCGAGCTGATAAACTACAAAAAGAAAAAGGAAAAAAGCCATGACAAATCACGAGTGAGAACTGGTTTGCAGTGAGGAATGGCTGATGAGACTCACGGCAAGCGTCCTTAAAATACTGGAGGAAAACAAAAATGCCTCATAAAATATGATAAGATCAGCCTGGAAATTTTCAGAAAGAAGCAGAAAGAGACTGGAGGAGATAGCTGCCTTTCTGCTACAACTGTGGAACCTTTCATTTGAGAAGGCACTTAAGAAAAATCACTGCAGAGCCGGGGATTTAGCTTAGTGGTTCCACTGCCTGCCTCGTAAGCGCAAGGACCCAAGTTTGATCCCTGGTACCAAAAAAAAAGAAAAAATAAAGAAAGAAAGACCACTGCATATGTAATCCCAGCATTTGGGATGTTGAGGCAGGAGGATCAGCGCAAGTTTGAGGCCAGCCTGGTCTACACAGTGAGTTCAAAGCCAGCCTGAACTACATAGTGAGACCCTATCTCCAAAGACAAAAAAAATGCCAAGTGACCTGGACCTAGGCAGTCTGGATGAAGAGCTGTTCAGGAATGCTGTGTGTGTGCTGGGTTCTGTGTCACCTCATGATCAAATCCTCACAATTTCTGAGGATCACACCTTTATTTTTCAGAAAAGCTAACTGGCTTGTTCAAGCCAAAGTGGCAGAGCTAGGATTCCAACACAGGTCTCTCACTACAAATCCTAAACTCACTTCACCTTGTCATCTGGATTTTCTGGCATCTATTTTGTTAATGCATCTGAGATGAAGGAATATTCCCTTAAAGTGTTAACTGACCTAACTAATCTCTGTAAATGAAGTTCCATTTTGGTGCCTAGGTAGAATGGCTGGATAGTTATTTCAAAGGGTGGAGGCCACAGATGTCTGGAGAAATCCCAGGAACAAATAGAACAAACAGAAACCACCCCCTATATAGTCTGCAATCACTACAAGGGCACATATGAGGCTATGTGGGCAATGGTTTATGCAACAGTTTAGAGCAGATGGTAGCAACAGAGAGGTTGGGATGGAAAGATGCGGGTAGTTTAGGGGAAATGAATTTTTTTTTTCTGGTACTGGGGACCGAACTCAGGACCTTGCGCTGGCAAGGCAGGTGGCAGCACCGTTGAGCTAAATCCCCGGCCCTGGGGAAATGTATTTTGGAGGAATGAATAAAAAACTGGGACAGAGGTTCGTGTTTGAATTAAAAAACAAAAAACACTATGGAATGATGAAAAATAAGGTGCTATGCATGGTGCTGCATGCCTGTAATCCCTGTATTTGGGAGGCCGAGGCCAGAAGGGTCGCCATGAGTTTGAGGCCTTCCTAGGGAACATAGTTAAGTACGTTCAAGGACACCCTAAAGTACATATGAGACCCTGACTCAAAAACAAAAACAATGAACTTTACCACCAGGGAATTTTATGCATTGATTTTTGGTTTTTTTTGTTTTTTTTTTGGTACTGGGGATTGAATTCAGGCCCTTGTGCTTGCGAGGCAGGCACCACTGAGCCAAATCCCCGGTCCCTGCTTTATGCATTCTTACTAAACCAAAGAGAGATTCTTGGTGAATGTGAAGAGAGATCGATATTAGTGTCTCCTGCCATCTTATGTGGACTTCAGGAAGAAAAATCACCTCACTTCTTTGACATCGCAGCAGTTTTAACTCCCCTTCCCTGCTATGGGATGTTCCTGAATTCCCTGTACAGTTTTCTATGGGAAGGGTGAATTGCGATAAATTTCGCTGGTGAACCTCCTCCCTGGACCGGGAGCCGAAGTCCCCACTGTCCCATGAACGGTGGAGATGTGAGGCGCCCCAGCCACCATCCTCAGAGCATACAGAGAGGACAGACGAGAAAGGAAAACACCATTGCCGGTATTTGAATTCATAGCTTGAACCTGCAAGGGTAGCCTCGTTTGAGAGACAGGCCCGTTGCTTTCTATAAATTCTGCTAAGTTTATTAAGCTGCCTAAGAGGTCTGGAGGGATGAGTCTCCACTCAAAACAATGTCTATTAAAGGAAAAACTATTGGCATGCAGAAGCAGTTAGCTAATGCCACATTCGGGAGCTCACGCCAAATTGGCTTTGTCTTCACATCTTCAGAAAAGAATCAAGTGGGCATCATTTTTCTTTTTGTAATGAGCTCATGTGAGGGACCCACTTTGGGTTCTAGCCGTGGCTCAAAGGCAGCACACAGAGAAAACAAAAATGAGACAGGGTATGAAGATGAGGGCTGCCTGTCTTTATTTCAGTCACAGAGTCACTCACGGACACTTCAGAAGGCTTGAAAGGTCAAACCACAAGGCCGGGGACCAGGGTTCCCAGAAGCCCCAGCAGTGCAGGCACCACGATGAGGTGGACTTCACTACTGGTAGCACCTAGGGCGGCACCCCAGCTGCCTCTCAGAGAGAGGTCACAGCATGGTCCAGCTCCTTGCTCATAACTTTGTACTTGAGCTGCCGAGCTCGTCTCGAGAGCGGAGGGCCCGAGGGAGAAAGTTCAGGAGGACGGGTACAGAGAACAGAACGCGAGGGTCGGATGGAGTGCCGCAGGCGAGGAAGAAACAGTGAGAAAACGAAGCATGAACTAAGACAGTTGCGTCCTATGTCCAGTAAGTGAAAACAAAAAAAGGATCTACGCACTGATTTCTAAGTGGTCTGAGACACTCTGAGGGAGTAGCCATGAGGAACCTTTAAAGGACGGGTGACTAGGGATGGCCAGAGCTTCCTCCCAGCCACCTCGGGGCCCCGGATTATTTCTGACTTCTAATGATGTCACTGGATTCAAAGGCTACATTTCAGAACAGGGCATCTTCCTTATATGGAAGCTTCCCTTCCCAAAGCAAACACAGGGACACATGGTCCGGAGAATGAGTTTTGCACCCTTTCTGGGTGAGGCAGACAGGCTGGGAGATTTCATTTTAACCTCAGATTTCTTGGAATTTCCGGGCTGTATCAAGAAAAACACAGGGCAGAATTTTTGTAATTGGAACAGTTAAGGAAATGCTGGGTCGTGTGGGGCACCAACCAGACTTGTACACTAGAGGCAAATTATTCTTGTCTCTACATCCCGTATCTTTCCATTTTCTCATGCTGTGATAAGCTCCCAGCTCTCCGGGAGAGAGCCCTGTAAAAATGCCAGGCATCTCTGAAATGAACAAGTTCAAAGAAATTTTACAGACCTCCTCACGCTGCGTTTTACTTTCCTTAGGCAAATAATGCCCAACTCAGCCCTGCACATACGCCCCAGCCCCCGCCGCTACGACACACAGGGCCAGCGGCAACAGACGCATTTTGTACCTTCCAGATCATCGATGGTCTTTTCCAGTTTTGCAACTGTTCTCTCTGCAAATTCAGCACGGGTCTCAGCCTGGAGAAGAAGAGAGTCAGTACCGCGGGATCAAGCCCGGGGGGGAAGTTAACGAGCCGGCAGCCACTCACCTCCTTCAGTTTGTCAGACAGAAGCTTAATTTCTTCTTCGTATTTATCCTCCTTTTCAGAATACTGTGGGAGAATCCAAAACACGGCTTTAAAACGAGGAGGACTAAAGAGCACAGAAGGAGACAGACTGCCCGTCCCTCGGGGAGAAGCGTGTGCACAAGGAACCGAAAATGGGCTCTGCAGCCAAGCAGCAGTGGGCACGCGCCTCAAGGCCCAAACTGCGTCGCCGGCCCTCCCCATCCCGCTAGGTGCCAGCCACCTCTGAATGGGTTCTGCGCACTGCTGTCTTCCAGCCCTCGTCCATGAAAGCTCCTCAGCACTCCACCTCTGAATGGGTTCTGCGCACTGCTGTCTTCCAGCCCTCGTCCATGAAAGCGTTCCTCAGCACGGCCTGTCCCTGTCCCCGTGACTGCCTCTCACACAGTGCATCTGTCTCTGAAGCCACATCCCAGGTTGCTGTCGTGAACACTGTGAGCTGCCTGCCAGGGCCAGCCGTGGTCAAGGGCACCACAACTATTATTCCTTAATCTCATTTTCCACAGGGCACGCAGAAAGGCTGTAATTTGTCTCCAGCCACATGGCTCTTAGGTGACAAAGCTTTGGTTAGGACTTGGAGTGGGATTCTGGTATTGGAACTTGTGCTTCTGTCCATCAGCCCAGAGGTGGTTGGTTTAAAAAAAAAAAAAATAACCCCCTTCAGTGCTGGGATGGAACCCAGGGCCTTGCATGTGGCACCCAAGTGCTCTACCACTGAGCTATAATTCCGGCCCTACATAGCTTTTTGCTTAAATGTCACCTTCTTGGTGGTGATGTTTCCCAGTTTTGCAAGGTCCCTGGGTTATATTCTAAAGAACTTTATTACCGTCAATCTCTGCCACTAGACAAGATTCTGAGCTCTTTAGGAACAGAAGCCATGTGACCACCTGACACCTCTGGGCGAGAGCTGCACCTGACACGCGCACACGGGCCATGTTCATTCAGTAGGTGTTGTAGCAGAAGGACGCCAGGCGCAAGGCTGGTGCTAGGGACACTGCTCTCAACATGGCAGATACAGCTCTTAGTCCTTAAAAGACAGGCTGGCAAGGAAGGCCTGCTGTCAGTTAGGGTAGGGCTGGGGTGGCAGCACGCTTGCTTAGCGTGCCTGAGGTCCTGGGTTCCACCTCCAGTACCAAAAAGAAATAAGGTCATAAGAGGAAAAGTAGATGGGACTACACCCGAGGCACTTGGAAGGTCCTCTGCTGGATGAGAAATCGGGGAGGGCCTCTCTGAAGGAGTGAAGAGTCAGTAGAGGCAGGAAGAATGAATCCAGGGCTCTCAAGCAAAGGGGCAAGAGAGGGGCCACACTAAGCTGAACGAATAGCAGGTTCAAAGAATGAGGTGACAGCACGAGATGTCTCCGGTTCTAGTTCACCTGGTGGGGCGGAGGAAAGAGGAAGCTGGGGAAGAGCGTGGATGTCGTTCTGATGTGGTCCTGCTCTGTAGTAACTGCTTTGGATGCTGTTTCAGCCTGAAACAGCCAACTCCACCTCTGAAGGTATTTCCGGGAGGTAAGAGTGAAGCTCTGCGCTTATCCGGTCTCACTCAGATCTCCCCAAGAGCAGCCTGACCAAATACTCACATTCCATCTCCATCCTCATAGGAAACACAGATGAAAGATGATGCTAAACCAATAACCTCAGCTACTCAGGAGGCCGAGGCAGGAGAGTCACAAGTTTGAGACCAGCCCAGGCAACTTAAAAAAGGTGGGTGGGGCCAGGGATTTAGCTCAGTGATTCCACCACTGGCCTCAAAAGTGCAAGGTCCTGAGTTTGATCCCTGGTACCCGCCTCACCCCCAAAGGAGGAGAATGGTAGCTCAGTGGTGCAATACTTTCCTAGTATGTGTAAGGCCCTGTGTTCAATCATATATAAAAAAAAAGGCACTAAAAAAACCCCATGGAAAAGTATGCTCGAGCCCAGCCACTGGACGGCTCCCGCTGTAGGGGAAAACCCTGGCTGCTGGGCACCAGAGCTACTGTTAACAGATAAAGGTCAGATTCCTGATACCCTGGCATGTTCTGAGTAACTCGGCCTCAGAAAAGAACAAAGTCCAGCAAGTCACCCTGTGACTCAGGCCAACCACTTACCTTTTCGGATGCAGCCTCTAGCGATTTCAGGTTGTTAGTGACATTCTTGAGTTCTTCTTCCAGGTCACCACATTTTCTGCCCAAAGACAAAGGATCTGTATGTCTTATCTTTCCTTACCGCGGGCAGTTCTCTTAAAAAAAAAAGTTTGCAAAAGGAAAAACTTCTGCTGCCCAGGGCCTCCGGGAGGAATGTGGGAAAAATGTTAATGGATTCTTCGGAGATGTAGTGCTGTGTACTTAGCAAATCCCTCTCATACCAGGCAGGGGCAAGGCAGGCCGAGAGCCCTTGGAACGTCTCTAAAGCACTCCTGGGCCCTTGCCAAGATCAACAGGGACTTGGGAATCTATGATGGATGAGGCCGCGTCCAGAAGGTTTAAGAATGAGATTGAGTGCAGGAGGCTGGCAGACAGCGATCAGTTTCCACCGGAAGCTCGCCTGGAACGGATTTGTGAAACCAGATCTCTTTTGGCACTGCAGGGTGCTCTGTGGAGCTGGATTCCCCATCCAAGGCCAAGGGAAGAGGTGTTTTGTTTGCGGGAGCTCGCAGGATTCTGGGCAAGCTTGCCCACGCCCCCAGGAATCTCATGGCCCAGCACTGACATGCAGAAGCACCAGCGACACCACGAGGGCAGCCTGCCTTTGGCCATGGGGCCTGGGTGCAGGCCTGGAAGCTCGGCTACTCAAGTGGCGGAGGCGGGAATACTCCAAGTTCGAGTCCAGCCTGGGGAATGTAGACTCTTTCTTTCTTTTTTTTTTTGGTACCGGGGATCAAACTCAGGACCTTGCACTTGTAAAAGCGAGTGGAGGACCCAATGAGCTAAATCCGTGGCCCTAGAGTCTAAAAAAAAAAAAAAGAAAAAAGATGGCCTTTCTGAGAAAATGGGAGTCCTGGGCTTCTTACTACCACCTATGTCCTGCCTACTTTCCAGGCAGGAAGAGGACACATTGGCAGCACTTCCCAGGGTGCTGAAAAACAAACTGTAACTATCTCTGTCAGCCACGGAAGTGGAGAGCAGGGAAGAGCCCTGACTCCCCAGTGCCTGTCCGCCCACTTGAGCAGAGGCCCTGGCCAGCGTTGATTCCTGATACCAACACCTCCCTGCTCCACCCGGAACCGGGGCCCTGCTCAGTCCTGTTCTGCGACTCACAGTTCAGACACCTCCGCACGTTCCTCTGCCCTCTCCAGCTCGCCCTCCAGGACGACCAACTTACGAGCTACCTGCAGAGACAGAAAGGCCCGGCCGAGCTGACGCCCACCACCCAGCACCTAGGAGGATGCCCTCCCCATGCAGATGGCGAGGCCACACCCAGATCGCGGGCACCAACGGGTCCCTGGGCTCAGTCCTGAGGCCCGGTGGGAATCGGGGAACGGAAAGCCTCCCCTCAGGCCCCCGGGGCGAGGCAGATGAAGAGGGGAGGGAAGAGGGCAGAGTCACACTTCGGGCTGCACTCCTCAGAGCTTGGCAGACCCGGCCGAACTGCGCAGTTGGAAGGACAGGGTGAGCGGGCTGCTTGGCCGGTTCCCCGCGTCCCCCCAACCCCCCAGAGTTAGACCAGCGTTCGCAGGGCCTTTTGGCATCATGCAAGATAGTTTCCCAGCCAGAGGGCGTCTCAGGAAAAACACATGTGCTCACAGGCCGGCCGGCCTAACGGAGCTTCCTGCAGGCTGCCCCTGGGTTCCTCCTATCGGCAGCTGCGTTTCCTCCCGTTTCCTGCTGCCGCCACCACTCACCTCCTCGTATTTGCGGTCGGCCTCCTCGGCAATGTGCTTAGCCTCTTTGAGCTGCAGCTCTTGGATCTCCATCTTCTCCTCATCTTTCATGGCCCGGTTTTCTATCACTTTCATTCCTCTGCAGAGAGCAAGCCTGGCATCAGCCCTCTGCGTCCATGCAGCGCCTCCCCGTTCCTCTGAACCCTGCCCTGAACTCCCCGAGCACCACGCTGCGAGGGTGACGCTCTGCTGACCCTGCCATCAAGGTCACTCACTGCCCCAAGCTCCCCAAGAAGTGGGCCACGACTGCCATCGTACAGACGATGAAACGAAGGCAGAAAAGGGCAAGTAGTTTGCTCGTGGTCACAGAGCCAGGGACCTGGGGCTCGCACCCTACTGGTCCGGCTGCAGTCTGTGCTCCACTCTGCTCTGGAGCAGTGGTGGACTCTACTGCAGTGGGGCCTGCGGCGGGTCACAAAAAGCTTTTCTGAAGGGGTGACGATGCTGGGCTTCTCCGAGGGCAAGAGAGGCTGACATGAAAGAGCGCACGCGCTTGGGAGCCAGCGGTGTGGTCAGGGTGCGAGGCCACAGGCTGGGATGTGCTGAGGTAGGCGTTTACGCTGAGGGGAAGGGAAACTGGAGGAGGTGGGAAAAAGTGATGGGACTTTGCAGCAGGAAAACCAGGTGAGGGGTTAGGGGCAGACTGAGCCTTCCGAATCTGAGAACCGGAAGTCCAGAGAACTCCCAAGTCCGCAACTGTGTGTGTGTGTCGCAGGGGCGCTGGGGATGAGGCTCAGGGCCTCACCCATGCTAGGTAAGTGCTCTACTTCTTGGCTACAGCCCCAGCCCAAGCTTTCTGAGCCCCGACATGCCCCCAACGAGTAGAAAATAAATTCCACTCCTAACTTAAAGTGATGGGTCGCCACCACAACACATAGTAAAATGTCCTATGTCACTATCTTCATATATGTATACACATACATATATGTATAGCTATAGGTGAAACATAACTGAATTTTTTTTTTTTTTGGTTTTTTGAGACAGGGTCTCACTATGTAGTTCAGACTGACCTGGAACTCACTACGTAGCCAAGGCTGGTCTTGAACTTACAGTGATCCTCCTGCCTCAGCCTCCCGAGTGCTGGGATTACAGGTGTGCGCCACCATGCCTGGCCACTGAATTTTTTTTTTAGATTAGATTTTTTTTTTCCTTTTGTACTGGGCATGGAACTCAGGGCCTCGTACTTGCCAGGCAGGTGCTGCACTCCTGAGCTATATCCCCCTCAAACTTTTTGTTTAAACTTGGGCCTCATCCCGAAGGAGAGATTATTATATATGCAAACACTCTAAAATCTGAAAAAAAAAAAAATCTGAAACACTTCCAGACACAAGCATTTCGGATAAAGGATTAGGGATGTGAGGGTCTGGACTCAAGTGGATCCACCTAACTTCGAAAGGAGTGTCCTGGGGACAGCTGACAGCTGGGCCTCTTTTCCAGCACAGCTGGCTGACCATGCCGTGAGCTTGCTTTGGCTTCTTGAACTACTAGGCGTGGAAGGGCTAAGACTACAGACCTCCAAAGAAGAAGCCAGCTGCCAGTAATGTCTCATCAATCTGTCATTCTTACTGCTGCTTTCTGTCCAGTAAGTACTTCCACCTGGGCTGTCACCGTCACTCTCACCAGCCAGCAGAACGTCCTGCACACCTGCACGAGGCCCGTGCTTGTGGGGTGTTACAATACTCAAGAAATCAAAGCACCTCGCCCGGCTGGGGGCCTTGGCGCACATCGATGGTTCCAGCTACTTGGAAGGCTGGGGCAGCAGGAGCACTTGGGCCCAGGAGTTTGAGACCAGCCTAGGTAACACATCGAGATCCTACCTCAAAGACAAACTGACTTGCCCAAGTGGCAGCGGTAGGGTTTGAACCTAGATCCCGCAGCTCCCAGTATAGAATTCTGTATTCTGTCTACTGAGAGCAGTCTCCAGCAAAGGACTCTGGTGGTAATGATGCAACCAAGTGAGTGGCCTGCGGGATCTCTCATGTGTCGCTGGGGAGGTCCTGGCAGGGAGGCATCCGGCCAGGCTGGTCTGACCACAATCATGAGCGGCAATCGATCCAGGCTCCAGGCACGGCCACCGGCACCTGAGGGGCTCCTTCACCCAGCCCTGGAGCTTTCCTGAGCTACCACTGTCCCCCCATGAAGTGGCTGAAACAGGGCCCGAGCTGGTGCTGTTCCTGCCACCCCAACTCCTGCACTGCACAGGAAGACGTTTCCCACTTGGGACTCTCGAAAGTCAGTCTCCAAGAGTCCCTAGCTCGTTCCTCATGCAGTATCTGGTTTATGGTCACAGCCACAGTCAGAAACGAATCCTGCGGAGGATTCACTAAGGGAAACCTCAAGTCAACGGGTTGGGTGACTGGCAGAATCGCAGTGACCCCTAGTCCAGCCCACAGCATCGCCACACAAGGACCCCATTCACCAGCACACAGAGCTGCTGCCTGTGAGTCACACAATCTCTCCTCAGTCCTCGCCCAGGGCCGGGGCACCCAGTGGACACCCAGAGAGTGCAAGTGCGGCGGGGGTTATGAGTGCACGACAGTGCCGCTCCGCACACGCCCCCAGATGCAGCTGCTGCCATCCGCGAGCCTCCGGTACGCCCGGCAGCACTGTTAGCGGCTTCTAAGCAGATGGCCCAGCTCAGCTTTCAGCCCTTCTCCCCTTTTTCCCATGCTGGGAACGGAACCTCGAGTGTTTGCAATGATTCCAGACCTTTCTTTAATTTTTTATTATGAGACAGGCTCCTGCTAAGTCACCAGATTGCCCGGGTTGGGCTCAAACTTACAGTCCTCCTGCCTCAGCCTCTCAGAGTGCCGGGGATTACAAGTGTGCGCCGCCTCGTCTGGCTCATTTTCCCTCTTTCACTTCACCCTGCAAACTGCGATGTGAAGGACACTAGTGAGGTGTACCTCGGCTTTCCCAGAACACAGCACTTTCCGAACCGGCCATCGCTGACACACACGCTTCCTTGCAGTCTTCTAGCTGCCTATTTTTTGTGTCTCTCTGCAGTACGACCCCTGGTTTTCCAAGTGCAAGCAGTCCTATCCCTGGGCTCAGGGTGTCCTTACCTCTCGCTCTCATCTGCAGCCTTTTCTGCCTCCTCCAGTTTTTGCAGGGCAGTGGCCAGTCGTTCCTGAGCCCGGTCCAACTCCTCCTCCACAAGCTGGATGCGTCGATTGAGAGCCGCCACATCTCCTTCAGCCTGGAGAGGTCGGGGACACAGCCAGGTTAAGGGGGAACAGGTGGGCCCGCGTCAGGAGCCCCACTGCGGCCTTCCCCGGCCGACCTCTGCCCTGCTGACACCTGCCCAGCAACCCCAGGCGCAGGAATTCACGCGCTGTCTGGAGAGTGTGCGAAGTTCAGTGCGATCTTCGAAGCCTGGGAGTGTCTGGGAACACCCACCATTCCATGACGGGCGGGTGGTCTTGTCAACACAGAAGAGACGGACAAGGCCCAAAGCGGGCTGAACTCTTGAGACTCACAAAGTGGCTCTCGCGCGCACTGTGGGCTTCCCAGGGAGCAAGGCCCGGGTGCCTCAGCTCACTAGGTCCCACTGAGTCTGCTCCCCACATCTGAATGGCAAGACCAGTGCTCGAACACAGAATCCACAGACACTGGTCATCACGCAGCAAGGGTGGGCAGCCAGTTAGCTAGTTAGGGGACCAGTGTCCAAGTCTGGCTGAGAAGTGATGAGACAAAAACGGGAAAGAAAGAACACGGCTACAGACCAGGAGAGGATGTCTAAGCACTTCTCTGCCTTTCGTGGGCCTGCGTGCGTGTGCGTGAGACCCTGGGGGAGGGACCGGGGCTTTGTGCATGCTGGCAAGTGCTCTAGTTCTCTGCTGCAACCGTTTTAATTTTTCACTTTGAGACGGGGTCTCGCGAAGTTGCCTAGACTGGCCCGGAACTCACAGTCCTCCTGCGTCAGCCTCCCGAGTAGCTGGGGTTACAGGCGTGTACACCTGACTCTTACCGGCTTTTCAAGGCGTTTCCACCTATAATAGGGGGAGTACGACTGAGTGTGCAACTCCAGAGTCACTGGCCACAGAAAGTCGTGTCACCTCCCTGAGCCTTTCTCCCACAGCCTGATGGCTTCCCACGACTGCCCTGACGGCTGTGACTGGCCGCTCAGCGTGGCTTGCCCCTGACGCAAGAGGACTGTGAAAGGAGAACTCTCCTGTGGTATCACTTCACGCGCATCCGCACGCAGCTCGCTCATTTCGCGGACGGGGAGACCGGCGAGCCCCGCTAGGGGAGTGGTTTGTTGGCTGACTTAGAGCTGGAGAGGAACAGCTGGACAGCCCCGCCCAGCCCAGGGCGCTTCTCTTTCTGTACCTGTCTGAGCCGGGCAGGGCCCGAGGGTCGAGCCAGGCACCCAGTGCGGCCACTGTAGGAACAGGAGGGCCTCATGGGAGAAGTCAAGGGGCAGGGGAAGCCGTGCTGCCCTCTCCCTACCAGGACAGAAAGGAGCCCTGGAAGTAGGGATGGCTATAAAAATTAGTCGGGCGCCGGAGATTTAGCTCAGTGGCTCTGCTGCCTGCCTCGCAAGTGCAAGGTCCTGAGTTCAATACCCAGTACCAAAAAAAAAAAAAAATTAGTGGGGAGCCAGACCTTTTGCAGCCGAGTTTACACAGCAGAAAACAAGAAGCACTTGAATGAGGATGGATAATTGTGATTGTAAATCACAAAATCAGGACGCTTTCTTAGTCCTAGGACCAGGCAGAGCAGACAACGGCGGGTGTTCGGTCGCCACGTCCCCTCAAACGTGACGGTACACGACGGTGCTGGCTGCATGAAAATCACCGATGAACTCTCTGAAGGAGTGTCCTCAGTCCTTCCAAATCACCAGGTGCCCCCCTTTTTGGTGGAACTGCAGTCCTGGCACGTGCCGGGCAGGTGCTAACCCCCAACCCAGGGCGGCTCTTTTTCACAACAGGAACCTTAACTTTTCTCATCTTTAGCACCCAGGTCAGGAAGCGACTCTTTTTTTCCATGTTTTTTTTAGTATATTCACAAAATTGTGCAATCAACGTCAATAATTCCAGAACAGTTTCATCACCCCACAAAGAAACCCAAAACCCTTCAGCAGGCAAGTAATTGCTTTTTAAGATGCTACAGTGGTGCTTGATTCGTGAGTTGTCTCAGAAAGAAGAAGAAAAAAAAAAAAGTGAGCAGCCCCTGATGTGGCAAATTCTGAGTCCTAGCAACCACACTTTTGGCAGGTTTTCAGCTGTCTAGAATCGAAAGGCTCCCAGCTGTGCACATAAATGTAGAAACTGCACATACATATATGTATTTTTGAAAAACTGCTAGTCACTTCGAGTCATCCTGGGCTCCACCCCTTCCTGCAATCAAAGCCTTCCACACGCTACAAAGGATTTTCCTTATAAGGTAAAAGAGGCTCTCTAGATACATGTGGCAAAGGAACAGGAAGATGTCGGTTAATCACACAAAAATCTAAACGAAACCAGCTGTTGGGAGGCAGGCCCAGCAGTCTGCCACACGCCGGCTACTGGCTCTCCGTGCAAGACACTCAGAGAGGGATTTTCCCCCCTTGCCCTCGAATCACCTTAAGGCCTGCCGGTTCAAGAGGGGCGCGCTTTGTAAACTGAACTTTTCAAGAAGCCCCAAACTTTCCAAAGATCATCCTCCCTGCCCAGTGCACAGCCCACCCGAGTCCCGGCTGGGGCTGAGCGCGATTTTGGAGCAGAAGTCACCCTCCCCCAGCGAGACGCCTTCGGGTGAGATCAGAAAGCCCGTTAGGCCGTTCGTGTGTGAAAGAGGCCAAAACAGCTACTGCGGGAGGCTGGCGGGG